GGACGAGCGTCCTGTTTCTAGGCTGGCCAAACGATATTTTATTTTTGGCGCGAATCACCCCCCATAATCACGAATCACACCTCATATGCGAGGGACTGTGGTGGCGAGTCTCCTCTGTCTCGACACTCGTCACATCCACCTCCTCGGAGGAAGATAGATGAAGCGTCTGGCTCTCTCTCACCCGGGGCCCCCCCCCCCCCCCCCCCCCCCCCCTCACAGAAATTCCCACGTTCATTCCCCCACAAATTGGCCCGTCGAACAGAACCTCGAATGCACTGCAAAAAAACGCTCCCCCATCCAATGATTTACAACGCCATAAAGAACGAACACACACTCGCAGTAGCCAGCATAGAGGAAGAGACTCTCCATGTAACCGGCTGGAGCCACGCTGTCGCCAGGCTCTCGTCAACCTGCTAAAGGACTGACAAAAACACTGTGCCTCAAGTAGGTCAGCTCTCCTCCTGGAGATAATCAAGCTCACTCTGACCCTCTATGTGTGAGCGTTTGTGTGGGAGAGAGGGAACTAGGTCAAACGCAGTCAGTTGTTACGACTCGATCATGTGCAGGACTTGCGCATACACCTGCCTGCAACTCGCCCGCATGCACTCCGACCGTCACGTGACTTACCAACGCTTGAGATCTGGCTCTCATCGCAGTCTTCTCATTGCACAGAGAAAATGGGATTTTACCAGCAGGCAAAGACGAACCCGTGAGAAATCTACAAGCTTTTCTGCCTATCTCGGTCTGATTGTCTGGGGCTCTCTCTCTGTTTTCCCTCTCTTCGCCTGTCCAGCGACTGCACAATGCACATCAATTATTCAGCGGCGGTCTCTGGGTTTCCAGTGCAAAGCCAATCACAGATAGAGTTCTGTGCTAATGGGCTCCTGCTATACCTGGCTCCTCTGCTCCAAGACGTAGCCCACAGGGAATCAGGTTAAGCTCTTCGAAAACTTCAGACACACAAATACAGAATGACAAGCCTGTTAAGTGTCTGCAGTGCAAAACCACAAAATGAACAGGAAGCACCGTTGTGTTTCAAAAGGGTTACGTAGCCCACAGGGAATCAGGTTAAGCTCTTCGAAAACTTCAGACACACAAATACAGAATGACAAGCCTGTAAAGTGTCTGCAGTGCAAAACCACAAAATGAACAGGAAGCACCGTTGTGTTTCAAAAGGGTTAAAAAAAGCAGCAAGAGAGAAAGAAAGAGAGGGACGTGGCGGCAGGGAAAGAGAAGAGAGACAGAGGAAGAAAAAGCAGCAAATGTACTCTCACCTCAGATGTATGGTGTCCTAAGTGACATCCACATGCCTAAAACCCTTATTCATTCATACAAACACACACGCACTCACTCACTCACATCCATGCAATGCGACGGCCACTTTGCCAGAGGGCAGAAGGGGGGGGGCATGGGCGGCTCACATTTCAAACTTGCAAAGAGGGGGCGGGGCCTATAGTGGCAGACGGGCTGTATCTTGGCCCTCAACCAAATCATCCAAAGAAAGACTGAGAACAAACAACACGCTCAGATCAATTCGGTTAATTCTGCATTCGCAGCCCTGCGATTACTGCTATCAAAGAGG